TTTAAATATTAAAATATCCTATAAAATCAAACACTTAGATTTTAAAATAAAATATATAATTTATCAACTCCCAAATTATATGTTAAAATATATAAAAAAATATATTTAAAATACTAATAAAAATACTTATTTAATACGTGTAAAATAATTATTTAAAATGTAAAAATTAATATTCTCTTATAATAATAAAATAATATTGACCAAATACTGTATAATAATAATAATAATAATAATAATAATAATAATAATAATAATAATATTTTGAAAAATAGAGTGTTATAGCCATAGTTTAACATTTATCTTTATAATGAATGATTATATAATAATAAGATGAACTTAGGAAAATTAACAAAACTAAATTACAATTAGAATTAATGTAACATCCCGATTTTCACATATTATACGAAGGCTCAAAGCCCAATAAGGGTGATTTAGTAGCCCAAAATGAGCCGTTCCTAAACTAGAACGGGCCGTCCAAACTACTAAAAAGACTTATATTTGGTAGCCCAGAATGGGTCATTCTCAAACTGGAACGGGCTGTTCCAAACCACCAAAATAGCCTATAACCCTAGTTGGGAACAGGCCGTTCCAAATATAGTTGTTGTGTGTTAAAACCCAAATCCAGAATGGACCGTTTTGGTTTAAGAACGGGTCATTCCACATGCAAAGTTAACACATGATGAAAGGATCCAGAACGGGCTGTTCCAGATTCAAAATGGGCCTTCTGACCACTTCTGAAATCTATAATTAGTAGACTCTAGCACTACTTCTGTACACACTCTTTGAAGACCAAGGAGAATCAAAAGAAGGAGACCAACCAGATTCTGCTCTAGCTTCGTCTTTTGTTTATCCAGGTAAGGGGGGAGTGAGAAACCTCACTTGGGGGTGTGGGAATAATTGTTGGGTAGTAAGATTAGCCCCCAATCTCTTGCTTGATGCATGCTTCTAGGAATAGGCAAAATATGAATTTTTTTTCTATTTTTCCTTCTAATTGTTCTGTTGTATTCCTTGCTAGATGTGATGTGTGAATATGTAATTAATTTTGAGAATAAATATGTTTTGATATGAATTAAACTGCTTTGTGGGTTCCTGAAAGAACCTTATGAGAAATAGGAAAAATATGAATGCTTTCTGTTTTGCTTTCTGAATGCTCTGTTGCATTCTTCGTGTGATGTAGAGTGTAAATATGTATTTGATTTCAAAATTAGATAAATTTTGATATGAATTAGAATGCTCTGTGGGTTCCAGTACGGAACACTATGAGGAACAATTATGAATATGACTATGTAAAATATGAACAAATGACATGAGTCATGATGTGAATGAGAATGTGAAACGTGATGAAAAGAGATAAGCTATCACTATCAGAATGTGAAACGTGATGAAATGAGATAAGCTATGACTATGAGAATAGGAAATGTGATGAAATGAGATAAGCTATGACTATGAGAATGTGAAATGTGATGATATGAGACATGAAATTCCATGAAAAGTGAAATGTTGAGTCAATGAAATAGTGAATGTGTGACATGCATCATGTGCATATATGATCTATTCCAGGTGTGTCGCTTTGGCCGCATACCAGCGATGTAACAAGCTAACAAGGTGTACCTTAGGGTCACTAGTGATGTAACAAGCTAACAAGGTGTACCTTAAGGTCACCAGTGATGTAACAAGCTAACAAGATGTTCCTTAGGGTCACCAATGATGTAACAAGCTATGTGATGAAATGACTTATTCCAGGTGTACCGCTTAGGCCGCATACCAGTGATGTAACAAACTATGTGATGAAATGATGAGAAATGTGAAACTTTCGTATGGCACCACATGCATGCATTTATGAGTCGAGTCCATGATATCATTGCATGATAAATGAGTATGCATGTGACATTGATTGTGTATGTGTATTGTTTACATGTGACTTATGTTTGTTGTGTGTGTTCTGCACCTGGAACCGAGTGAGATATTTCTCACTCCCTTGTTTTTCTTTGTATGTGTTTAAATTTTGTTACAGGTGATCATCATCATGAGGATGTTGGTGATCAGGCTTAGGCTTCAGTTGGGCATGCTCTGATAGGATATGTGACAACGGGGCTTAGCTAGGTTTAGCATTGGGGTTTCATTATTGTTATTGTGTTTTGGAAAGTGTAATGACCTGCCTTAGGTCGCCATATCAACAACTAATATAACAACTAGAATAAAATAATATATAATAAAGAAAAGAGAGCAAATGCTAGCTACATTAGGGTGAAAATATATAAAAACGTATAAATTGTTTTTATCATATAAAACATAATCTTATAAAAGAGTCATCATCAGTAAGGTTATACAGTCATCCAAAAAGATAATATAATTACAACATCATGAAAATATCAAAATAAGACACCCTAGGTGCTGGTCAAGCTCTAAGTCTAGCCACTTCTCAAAGCAGCTACCCAAAAGACTCCTTGCCATCCCAAAGCCTCACACCTGATCTTCTCCCCCACATAGTGAGATCATCACAGTCCACATCATGGAAATATAAGGGTTAGCACGTATAAAACCAACCATAGTACAACATAATGAAATATCATCAAAACATATATTCATCAACAACATTTATCCATACAAAAGGGATCACAACATTATTACATGTCTATCTCCATGCCAATATAAACCAAATCCAAAATCTAATGTATACATATCCATACCAATGCATACATAATTGATAATAATGAAGAATCCATAACCAGTATATATAATCCATACCAAATGCATACATATTCCATATCCAAACGAACGTCACACCGCTGTATAATCCCATGAAGTAGCCAACACATCCAAACAAAATTTTTTCCTCAAGACGTCCAAACCAATTTTTTAATTTGTGAACATTTCACCTGCCCATGTCACACACCTAACCTCTCATGGAAAATATATAGTTGGATTACATCGTCATGTAATCCTGATGATCTTGGCCACTTCATCTATTAGTATGACTTGGCCTTGCCCCCATATCAGTAGCAAATAGAATGCTTAAAGGAGTACTTCAGAATCCACCTAACATCTGAAGTGATTTATTATATAATCTTTGGAAAAGTTCCATATTGGAATCTTCACCATGTGACTTCCGAATTCCATATTTTCCCAAAGACTTTATCCTGATCTCACCAAGAGATCTCCCAATCCATACCATAACCTTACTCCTCTAAGTCCTATTAGGTTTCCAAACCAAGCACACATAGGATATTCCATAATTACATACAAAATTTTCCATAATCATGCCAACATTCCATACCAAATATATAACATCAAAGATGACATGATTCAACATTTTAAAGTTCCATAAAAACTTAATTATAAAGGGTTTTCCTCGAATAGACCACACGCCCAGCACATTCAGATCACGCCCGGCGCAAAATCAAATAGAGAATTCATGCTCGGCACGCTCACTCTGCGCCCGGCACAGTCTACACAGAGACGTACAGAGGTATCCGCACCCAATGCACTTATCCTATGCCCGACACAATTCTAGATAGAGACTCCCAATGAGTCTCCACACCCAGCGCACTTATACTACGGCCAGCGCAATTCTAGACAGATACTCCCAATGAGTCTCGATGCCTAAGGTGCTCAGATCATGCCCAGTGCCACATCAACAACCAAAAACACAAGGCCCACGTTTGTTAGCATGCTTGGCGTGATTCCCCTCATGCCCGGCGTGCTCCATCCAGAGATTTCCCACTTCAAATCGCGCCCATCTCGACTAACCTCGCGCCTGGCGTGATTTGACAATGGTGGTCCTTGATGAATGCACGCCCGGTGCCAAGAACTGCGCTTAGCGCATGTTTAACCAGAAACCCCCAAAAACCTTAAAAATTCCTTCCCAACATGAACCCAATCCAAATTACACGAGCTCGAACCATTATAAAGCATAAACACTATCCAAAAACAACATATTAAGTGATAAAATCAAGTTTTTCCACTCAATCCAAGCTTAATCATGCATAACACGTAGAATCAATGTGATATTTCAAACCAATATATACTAAATTAATTCTTATAAGTATTACCCTTACCTTAGAAACCTTAGAAATGCAAGGTTTGAACAAAACCCTCAAATCCCAACTCAAACTTCAATCCCACTTTTCAAGCTTTTAGAGGCTAAATCTCTTGAAACTCTAGTTGTGAAGATTGATCCTGGCTTGATAAACTTCCCAAATGTGTCCTCAACTTCCCTCTGGACTAGAGCTTCTCTCTTTACTTCCTCTCTCTAGAAACTGTTTCTTTCTGACAAATGAAATCCTTCGGTCCTAAGTCTCTATATATAGCCATTTTCCAAAATTTCCAAATTTCACCCTTAGCACCTATTCACCTCAAATATCCTACTCCTTGTAGTATTTCAACTTCCTAAGCTCTAAAACAACCTCAATTTCACTCAGAAAGACCAAATTTATCATGTGTTCCTATCCTTCAATCTCCTACGAGTCTTATTGCTTTCTATGCAATACTCACAACTCACCACCATATGAAATGCAACATGTATGAACATGCAAACAAACATCACATTCAGATACATATGCTTGGAATAATGAGTTGCATGCCATATTACTTCACTTAACTAAGATGAGAAGGAAGGTGATCAGTCTTCTTCCCTCTTAGTACCAATTCAGTATAATGGTGTACAATGCATTATTCACCACACTCATGCATACATATGCCTATATAAACACATCAAAACAACGATATCTCGTTCCATACTACAAAATCACTTCTATGCCCAAACAATTAATCAAAACTACATAAATATACAACATGCACAAAGATAAGTACATTTCAAATCCACACCTTCAGAATCCAATCCAATTCCATATAAATAACATACACATACATACATACATATATATACATACATATATATATATAATATATATATATATATATATCCATAAAGTATATCTACCAAGCTCGATATTTCCATGGCGTTACCCGAAACAAGAAAAATTTTCGTCCCCGAAAATTCACTTACTCAAAAAGAGATATGGGTATTGATCCTTCATCCTATCTTCCAACTCCCAAGTAGCTTCATTAGTAACCTCATCCCAAATAACCTTTACCAAATTGATAGATTTTCCTCGCAACTGCTTAACTTTCTTTTCTGCCACTAAAACTGGGTTTTTCTTAAAAGTTAAATTCCCCTTAACTTGCACTGCCTCTGATTCCAAAACATGACTTGGATCATGAATATACTTCCTCAGCTGTGAAACATGGAACACATCATGCAATTTAGAAAGGAATGGAGGTAATGCAATCTAATATGCCACTGATCCAATCCTCTTGAGAACTTGATACGGCCCAATAAACTTAAGATTCAACTTCTTAGCTTTGATAGCCCTTCCCACACCTGTAGTAGGAGTCACCTTCAAAAACACATGCTCTCCCTCTGAAAACTCCAAAGGTTTCCTCCTCTTGTCTGCATAAGACTTTTTCCTACTCTGAGCAGCTTTCATTCTTTCCTGAATTTGTTTCACTTTTTACGGTAGTCTGTAAGATGATCTCTGCCCCCACTATCATTGATTCTCCCTCTTTAAACCAACACAGAGGTGTTCGACACTTCCTCCCATACAGAGCCTCAAATGGTGCCATTCCTATACTTGCATGAAAACTGTTATTATAAGTGAACTCGACCAAAGGTAACATTTCTTCCCAACTCCCTAGATGATCCAAAATACAAGCCCTCAACAAGTCCTCCAAAGATTGGATAGTCCTCTCAGACTGCCCATCAGTCTGTGGGTGATAAGCAGAACTGAGTCTCAACTTAGTCCCTAATGCCTAGTGCAAACTCTGCCAAAATCGCAATGTAAAACGAGGATCCCTATCAAAAATGATACTGGAGGGCACACCATGTAATCTAACTATCTCCTTGATATACAACTGAGTTAACTTTTCCAAGGAACATTTTACATTCATTGAAAGAAAATGAGCACACTTAGTTAATCTATCCACAATCACCCAAATAGAATCACTATTCTTAGCAGACCTTGGCAAGCCAACAACAAAATCCATGGCGATACTATCCCATTTCCATTCTGGAACTTCCATCTTATGTAACAAACCTCCTGGTTTTTGATGTTCTACTTTAGCTTTCTGACACATAATGCAAGATGCAACATACTTAGCTACCTCCCTTTTCATACCATTCCACCAAAACATTTTCTTCAAATCTTGACACATCTTTGACATCCCCAGATGTACACTCAACTTGCTTTTATGACCTTCTTGAAGTATCAACTTCTTCATCTCTTCATCTTGTGGAATACAAATCCTGCCTTTGTATCTCAAAACCCCATCCATATCTTGTTCAAATCCTTTAGCTTTCTCTGAATCCAACAACTCTCTAACCTTATTCAAACCCGCATCCTGAACTTGTTTTTGTTTCACCATCTCTAAGAAATCACTAGTAATGGTAGTCATACCACAACTAATAAAACCTGGAGCAACCAAAACGTTAAGATTCATATCCCTGAATTTCTCTACCACCTCCATCTCTTTAACCATCATGTAAGACATATGAAGAGATTTTCTACTCAAAGCATCTACCACCATATTTTCTTTACCTAGATGGTACGTTAGTTGAAACTCATTGTAGACCCCTAAAATTGTCCGGGTCGGAAATAAAGCTTGAAGACTCTTGAGGACTGAAGGAAAGTCAGCCAGAAGGACTCATGGAAGGCCCTAGGAGGATTCTCTGTAGGTCTAGAGGTCTTGTAATAGCTCAAAATAAGGAAGTGGAGGGAATGAAGCCCAATACGGCCTCCCAAAAGTTCAGTACGGCCGTATTGAACATTTTGAACTACAATACGGCCGCACTGAACTCAATACG